TTGTTACTGATCTTATTTGAGCCATATTAGTTCTGACTTTTCCATTATGGGAGACTTATGGGGATAAAGTGCCTCAGTAATAGCAAAGCACCATTGAACATGTTTCTGTCATCCTCGAAAAAAGCGAAACTAATTAGGAGAAAGCTCATTTTACTCCTAAAGGTATACTCTGCGCTACTTAAGAGGGTCAAGTAGAAATTGACTCTACATTTTGAGTTGTTCAGGATGTACACATTTTGTTTGGAGGATCACGTAACTTGGTGCCGTTCATGAATATAAAATCAAGCAGTTACTAAATGTAACTTTCCTCATAAAGTGAGATGTACGACCAGTGTTAAACGCAACAAACTAGTGAGCAAAAGTGGTTTTTTGCAAAATTAGCCAAAAAATCTTATGTCAAAAACTTTTTTCCACGTTCTTGATGATTCCTATTTGTAGAATAGGTGAATAATGGCAAGAAGCACACATTTATGTGAAGTTGTGGGCGACACTAATTTTTACATCATTCATAGAGAAATCAAGACGAGACAAGCTACTCAAATTCTTTTGTTTACCTGCAACTTTAACTAGAATGGCTGTTGGAACATGCGATTATTTAAAAATTTTCATCTACGGTGAGAAAGTAGTGCTTTACTTCGTGCTGCTTTTTGGCGTCTCTCAATTATTCCATACGAAAAAAGAGTTGCATCTCATAATTATTTTCCTATGCGAGAAATGTTACACTAGAATACTCTCGCGGTTCCTCCGGACTCTTTGCCATAATAGGCGTCATATCGCCATATCTCAGTTCGATGTGGAGGAATTCTGAATTTTAGAGAACCAAACTCAGCTTGAGGAGGCGCATCCTTTGACATATTCAGCACACTGAGCAGATACCGTTAGCAAGAAACCTGAACAGATCCTTGAATACTAAAAAATTAGTGGCGCCTACCGTAAACTTACCGAACATAGACAGTCATTCCATAAACTAGCAGATGCACCTCGATCACAGCTGAATTGTGACTTTGATTTGGAATTCGTTCATTGTTAAGATGATAAACTGTGATTATCGTCAATATGTCGCTCTGTGACTCTATGGGACTTCTCTAAAATAAATGTGAGACTGACTGCGTAATCAAAAATTCGCAAAAATCCTCTCATTTTGAGTGGAAAGCGCTTGCGGAAGTCTTTCTGGTTCTTAACTATTTGAAAAAAATTTCTGAGATCACAGTGACGAGATACGCTGTGCTTTTGAAGACTTATAGTAATATCGGCAGGGTCAGCCAATCCATCATAATACTTCAAAGGCCGTTAACGATACTTACTGAAGAATTTGAGAAATATGCACTTTTAACACGCTTTTCGCCAATCCTCTAACACTTTCGCCGAAATTTCTCAGAATGTCAAGGAATTCTGACTTTTTGTGCAGCAGGTTTTTCTATGCTCTTTGTAGTGTCTATGGCTTACTGGTTGTTAATTTTTATGAGCAAAGATTGATTATCTTGTAGTTTGACGATTCTAGATGAAATTTAATGTATCTTGTCATTATATCAAATACGGCGTAGTTTATCTAGATGTTGCTCGGCTCAATGATTCCGTGGACGCGAAGTAGATTTGCTTTGATTTGGGATTTCTAGTTTTGAGCCGTACAATTATGAAGTTGAGAAGATAATCTGAGTAGATTCGTTAATGAGCCATAAATTGGTGGTGACGTGTCCCATTTTCTCCGATCCCGACCTTCGACTAAATTATTGCGAAAAAAAAGAAACGTCCCTTTATTTATAACATTTTCAATGTGCCAACATTAGCAACTTTTCAATTAGTGAATGCGGTTCCACGCTAGGAGAACTTTGTCATTCAAATGATTTGCTTGATTCATCATATCCCAAATGTTTTCAGCCTAATTGAGGAATGAAATCCGCAGATACATTCAGATCTTCTTTATCTGAATATTGTCTTGTCGATTTACACACAAACTAATTCAAAGCATTTTTCACTTTGATTTTGAGGCTTCCTTGGGAACTGCTGAGGAGGGGCACCAGGAAAACTGCACTACCGATATAGCTCTTAGCCCCGCAGCCGGATAGTGTTCAAAAACTTAAGAGAAAAATTCTAAGACTCTCTTGTATGTGTCTATTAGTTTATTTATCAAATGCATAAAACATTTTTGTTACATCGCTTGTAAGAGCAGCAACAAATTAATGGTTTAGTTTATGGTTTTTACTTTTTTTTGATGCATATGCCTTTGAGTCGCTGCACACTATGAAGTTATCGGTATTTCCATTCGTAGTAAGCTAAAAATTTAGAAACTTTCCTGAAGACATTCGTTGGGCTTTACATCCAATTAGGGCGACTTTCTTGTATTGGTAGGCCCCTAAGGGGACTGGGATAGAATCTTGTTTACTTATGGTCATTCCTAGTAGGTGTCATAGGTCGCACCTTGTTTGCTGCTCCCTTCCTTCCATTTATAGTTTTAGCATTTTTTTCAGTTCAAACTCGTGTTCCATTATTTACTCTTTCGCTTTAAGCTCAGCGTTGCGGAGTAAACTTACTCCGCGATCTTTCACATCGTCTCAGCCGTGTTCCTTTGCATCCAAACTACTCTTTACTACAAGCATGTTTCCCAAAATTTCCAATCTTTTAAGAATGCTGATAGATTACTTCAAACTAATAAGGGCATTAAACTGAAGTTATTGAACCCTTGATTCGCGCTGTTCAGTCTGTTACCATGTCTCAAGAGGTCTAGTCCATAATCAAATTATTGCTTCCTTCAAAAGTTGGCAGCGTAAGAAGCGATTTTATGGCTGCATTATCATTTAAAGGGTGACTTTCCCATTTAACCCCTGTAATTTTGCTGTCAAAAAGTTCTACTAGAGATTCTATTGCTACATTTCTTCTATTGTGGAATTCTATATAACGTAATTAGTTTACAGCAAGAGATAACTTTTTACTTTTATCATTTTTTGGAGAAGCAATTCCCTCTACAGCGTTAGAAGTGGTGAAACCAGATCATAATCGAAGTGCGACCTAGCTACAAACGTTGTTCAGTAAACAGCTTGATCAGCCACAAAGATCACACAAATACAGATACAAAGAGCGATCACGAGCACAAACACAAAGAACGAATGCATCGACATAAATCTCCTCTCCCTATCCCTTCCTCTGGTTCTAAAGCGCATTCATTTAGTCAAAAACAATTAAGAAGAAGAATAAGTAGCTCATTGAAATAATACCACATATTGCTGTCCAGAATCAACCAGATTGTCCAGATCAGAATAAATTAAGTAGGTTTAGGGGCATTCAGTCTTCAAACAATATTTTCGTAAATTTGTTAGAATAAATTAGAATAAACTTGCCCTGCAGCTTGATTTTTTTCTTCCTTGTAACCTATGGGTTGACCTTCAAGAACTAGAGTTGGACTATATTTGATGCGATTATAGATAGAAGAACTTTGATGACCGTTGCTTTAATCATCGTGACGGACTTCAGAAAAAATCTAGATATTAAGCGATAAGATTTTTTGACAAAGAAATATTGAGATGACTTACAAGAGAAGCAAACCCAAAATAATTTTTGGGAGAAATGCAAAGAATAATGAATAATTTGAATGAATTAACATGCCTAGCGGTTTCTTTCAGTTTTTTTTTTAAATTACGGTTCAGGTTTATCACTTACGACGTCTTGAGATAAGTTCTATATCTATTTCCTATGAATTAATTTTATTTCAACTCTCAAAGTCTTTTTGGGGTGCCTTTTTTACAGTGTCTCATTGACTCTTTTTGATGTTCGGTTATAGATCTCAAAACACTCTCGATCTTTCTCGATGACTGTGACGAAATTGATCCTGAAGGGTCGGTAATAAAGTTATCATTATGATCAATCACAATGTCTGCTGCTGTAGTCTCCTTTTTCGCTTTACGCGCACTAAAGAAGTAACATAACTGCAGAACATTGCTATCGATCTTCTTGACAAAGTCGAATACAAAAGTTAAGGTGTACATCGTAATAAGATCTTGAATGACATGAATAATTGCTTTTCAGCAGAGAAATGACCGTTTTATGAAACTAGAAAGTAGGTTTTTCATAAATGGCAAAGTTTATGGATACTTTTTGTATTCTTATTGTTGATGTCTCTTACTAGATATATAAGTAAAATTTCACGTACAAAGTAATTCTTACCTTCAGAATGACTTCTTTCCTGATGTGCCCGATGCTATAATTCTGGCACTGTATCAATATTAACCCTATTTGTTATTTTCATGGTTAGCTGTCAGTTTTTTGAAAACAAAATTGAGATAAATATAAGTAATGATTGTTGCAAACTAGTCAAAATCTTCAAAGAAAAAATTTTTGCGAAAAGTCTGTTAGTTTTTCTAGCTTAGAGAACTTTGGAACTCCAATTTAGAAAGCTCAACCCTGTTTTCTATAGCTTAACAGAGGTAGTTACCGGTGCTCCCTTCTGAGCTTGAATCTTTGAAATTAAAAAATTATTTCTATTATTTGGAAGTATAAAGGAATCATTTGCACATTTTTATAACTCATGTAATAACTTTTAAAAAATTCGCGACCCATTCTCGGGGGGGGGGGGGTCGGTCCGCCACTGTTGACATTTTATGAAGTATAAAAAATCATTGAAATATTGAATTATTTATTGAATTATTATTTATTAAGATATTGATTTTATGCATGTCATCGCATAATTACAGATTATGTTATATTCCAGACTTTTGTGCAGATTTTCATGATTTTTTTGACATATTAGAAAATTATCCCTCAAAAAAGTTCGATAAAAATGGGAGTTTCTGAAAATTCCATCAAGTTTCGAGCAAAAACTGTCTCACATCAAGGAAATGCGCTTATCCAATTACGCCAAAAATGTTCTAAATCTTTTTGTGGTTCTTTTTATGCGGTTCAATGCTCAGCTCGAAAAGGTTTCATTTTTTTGGAAAAAAAATTCTGACGGAGTGTTCGTTGAACATTGATCTTCCTTGATCTTCAACTTTATTTCTGGGTCATTTTAGGAGCCAACACCTCCAAAATCGCCCTCAAATTCAGACGTGGATGTAATGCGAGAAGCTGAAGCAGTAGGCGAACATAGCCATGCCAAGTAAGTTCAAAAGGCTCTTCTTTCTTCTTGAACTCACAAAATTTTCTTTTCAGGACCTCCACGGAGATTCCACCAAAAACAAGCGAAATCAATCTCGAAGAAGTTTTCTGCGTTAACAGAGGAAAGAGCAGCAATACAAAAGAATGCAAATGCAACGCTTGTAATCTTACAAAGCTCAGCGATGAGGAGAGGGCAGCGATGGTCCCACCACCAAAGCCGATGAGGGTCCTGCGAAGAGAAGAGAGCAACCGTAGCCCGTCGAACTCTGCAAATAGCACTCCAGCTGTGAATATTTCTCTGGAAGATGTATTCAATCCTAAAAGGACCTCGCCAATTCATGTAGTTAGAATGAGCAATGATGAGGAACCTACTAGACCTTCAAGAAGTTCGGATACGCAAAGAACGGCAGAAAACCATGAAAATTCTAGAAAATCTGGCTCCTATCTGGAAAGAGAGACTATATCGTTTCAAAGTTCGCGGCAAAACTGCTCAGACATAGATATGGATGAGATTTACCCAATAAGGAAAGATGCTGAGCAGCCTAGAGGGTCCCTGCAAGAACATGGAAGTCTTAAGCCTTTTCAAGAAAATATGAAGAAAGAATCGCGCTCCTCTTCAGCCCCTGTGGAAACTAACCTGGACTGGGTAGCTTCCCTTGTGGGTAGTGAGAACGGGTCGAAGGAGGTCAGAAAAGTTGAGGAGAAAAGCATTCTTTACGATATTGGAGCCAACGAAAGGGATATCCTTGCCTTTAGAAAGCCTACCGTAACCCAAGGGCCAATGGCAACATCTGAGAAACTGCCCAATGGGCATAAAGAATCTGGAGCGGATGACTGGTTACGGTCTCTAGTGACATCAGAGCATCCCACAACAACAACCAAGGAGCCCATAGATCAAAAAATCACCAAAGGGACACCCACGAACATCGAAGAAACCAGAGTCACTCCAGCACCTGCTCCAGAGCCAATAAATGACCTAATTCACAAGGTTTTTGACCGAGAAGATGACCCGAACGCTAAAAATTCAAAGAAATGCTGTTGTGCTGCTTGTGAAACCGATGCCACCACCTCCACACCGGTGCCAGCCGAACGAAAACGACGTTTAGCCAAGAAAGAAGAGGTGTCTATTTGATTATTCGCTTATGATACCGCAGATGTTTATTTATGAGATTATTTTCTTTTTTCTATTCCGGAGACTGTTTCTGTGGAAGAAAAATACTGTATCAAAGAGAGGCAGATGAAGAGTGAATGGTGTGATCAGCCCCTATAGGCTAAGATTTTTCTCTGAATATAAATTACTAGAAAATAAACTTTGATGGTTTTCCCTCCTTTCCTATCTCTTTCATTTTACGCGTGCCATTTAATAAAGTTTCTACTTCAAAATTCATTCTTTTCCTTTTAGATTGTTAGTTGTTGTGGCGTAAAATCTATGAAGAATTTCGGATGAACAGGTTGCTATATATGAGTTATAATTTGTTTCCGCTATTGTAGAAACTTGTTCTATTCAAATATGTCTGACAATAAAGCTTTTTCACTAAATAACAGACTTCTCAGAAATTTCCTTTTCATTTTCCAAAATATTAGAGAACGTGCAAGTTGAAGTGCAGCATCACGGACCAGTTCGATGTTCTTTGGTTTGTAGAAATTTTTGCTAGATTTCCGCATAAACTTACTCGAAAACTGCTTCAGAAAGAATTTTTGTTCATAACTGTTTAGAAAAACTTAGGAACAAAATACATACTGCAATTTATCCCACAAGGAGTGACTTCTTCTGCAAATTTTCAAATCGAGCGCTGCATTATCTTACTTTGCTTTATATGTGATTTTGCAAAATCACAAATAATAAACTAAAAATGTACAGAAACTATAAATTTGGTCTATAGAAAAGCATCATGGCGCTCAATCGTTTTCGGAAAAAATTTCTTTCTTCTTATAAAGTCTTTTAAGCAAGTCTCAAGTCCTGTTCTAGTTTTTATTTGTGAATGAGTCTATAAAAATTTTTTTGCAATTAGTTGATACATTTTTTCCTGTGCCACCGTGACCCTAAATTCCTGAGTTTTGTCATAAACTAGTTATCGAAGCATAATTCCGAATCACTGTGTAGTTTATAGGTCACTGAATGTGAACTCCGTAGAAACCGCGTGAAATGCGCAAGACCTCATAAATTTTCTTTCTTGTATCAGCGCGAATGTAAAAGCGGCAGCTAGTCATTTCTGACCTCATTTTATCCGCTCAGGTAAATTTTTCGCCAACTTAAACACAAAAAAGTTAGGTTTACCACTTTCAAATGAAAACTGTAGAAAACCTTTTTGCAATATGTTGAACGGATAAGTCGATCATGCAAAATTGTTCATGGAATGGACTCCGAAAGTTTTTTCAAATTTATGGCCGAAATCACCAAACGGTTTCACTTTTTGATCTTTCTTGCTTAGGAATCATCGTATAATAGATCAATTACAAATAAAAAAGTCCCCAAAACATGATCAAATGACCAGTGATCAATATCTAAAAGAAATTGGCCAGACCCGGTCCAGCAACCTCAGGTATTATGCGTCAAAAGAGCAAACATGGCACTATACAGAACATGACTTCTTTCTTTTCAATACCGGTTTGTCTTACCTTCCTTGTTATTTGAGATTAAAAGAGCATTTTTAACAAACAAAACAATCTACTGAAGTGGGAAGGTAACATATAAAAATCTGTAGAGAAAGTAAATTTCTTGTACATGAAGCCGAGAGTTTTGAGCTTGATTCTGTAAAAACTCGCTTTTTCAAAGTGTCAGAATTGTTCAAAAAAAATTTCAAGTAAAATTACTGTACATTTCAGAAGTTCTCGTAAAAATCTTTGAGAAAAGCTGGCATTTTTTCGATTGTACGTAGATTCGTTGGGAAAAGGATGAAAAAGTGCTGCTGTGAAAATGCTTAGAACTTCGAGAATAATCTTTTGAAAAAGGCTTGAAAGGCTCTGTTGAGCATGTATTTTTAGATTTTTCACTAAACGATTTTTTTGAATTTTTTCGCTATCTACTTCTTCCACTAGTTTAGCATTCAATTTCATATTTATAATTTTGTAAAAATTACTCCTTTTTTTTCCATGACCCAACTAATTCATTAAGATGCTCCGACGTTCGGAAAGTCCATCCACTCAACCAACGCCCCCCAATACGCCATCTGTACAGGAACCAAAACGGCAAAAAACCACAGGTTTGTGTCTCTTTTGTGTTCTTCGCTTCACCATGTTGACATTATCAAGTTCTTGGAGCGAAAGTGCACTTCAAATATTTGAAGTTCTCGTGAAGGGTAAGGGAATTCTGCGAATACGGCATTGTCAAACGTTTCAAACGCACTATATCATTGTAATTGCGTGATTTAGTGTCGGGAACGTAGTGTAAAACCGAATAGCTTAATGGGTTTTGGGAAAAACTGGGTAGGAAGCGAAATTTATTGTTGTTTTTCAGGCGTGGAAGTTGGAGCGGGGCTTGATGAAGACGTTGGGAAAGAGAATGTGCCTGAAACCGTCAATGAGAGACTGGAGAATGCTTCGGAACCTTCGGAACCAGTCGATCCCGAAGCGATTCACTTCCCACCGGGTCGTACGCTTCTCGTCGGCGAAGTTCTTCGAAAACCCAGTGTCCTTGAGGAGACTTCTTTTAACATAGGTATGTTCCGTATGCGCGTTCTCACATTTCGCTTCGAGTTAAACGTTCGGCATATCATTACAGACCACCTGTCGCCGATCAGCGATGTTTCCAAGGCCTATATGCAACGTCTTACGCAGCTAAAGAGCGAGCTGGGACTGGATGAGATGGATCCGAACTCGGAGCAGAAGGGAGTAGCTGAAGACGAACAGTCAGCTGGCGGGCGGCTAGAACAGCGCGACTTGCGACCCACGTTCTACCAAGACGAACCGGACGGCTCATGTGACACTGGCGCACCACTGGGACACAGGACAATGAGCGATGAGGCGCTTGTCGACGCAATGTTCAGCCCGGTGTTCGAGGGTGAGTCGAGCGAGATGACGAGCCTCGCCGCAGCCACCACCGCCTCCTCGTCGTCGCAAACTCTGCCCGGTGATCGTCCGGCGGTCGAGGAGAAGTGCGTTGGCGCCGAATTGATGGAGAACGGTAAGCCGAACTCGAGTTTTGATGACTGGTATGATAATCCGACTGCACCGCCTTCGGAAGAGAACGAGGTGAAGGACTATGTGGAGGAGATGCTGAATCAGTCAATGGATGAGGCGATATTCTCTGCTTCGAGGAGGTTACAGGACAAGGATGAGGTGAGGAAGGAGCTGAGAGGGATTCCGAACCATACTGATACCTCCGTGGATCGGAAGAATTCCCAAGCCCAGCAGAGCCTAGACTCCACCTCATCCGAAGGCACAGGGGACCTCAAATCTAAAGACCCTCTAATCGAAGCTGTATTCACCTCCACCATCGACAAAGAACAACTCATGGAATCTGTAATCTCCTACCCAGCTTCCACCGCCTCCTCCCGAGTCACTTCCTCCGTCACCACCCCTGGAGCTGGTCGAACCATCGACGATTCTGAAGTTTTCTTCCCCCCAAACTCTTCCCTTCCCCAACCTCCACCCCAAGGCGAAATGTATGTGTCTAGCGCTAGCGTATTAATGAACGACACCCATTCGTCTTCGGAAGGTGATTTTGACGAGGATTACATCATGAAATTGGTCTTTTCCGAGAAAAACGAAGAAGCGCCGGCGGGTCCCGTGATTGCGGACACACCGCTGGAACGAGTCCAGAGAACAATAAAGCAAAGCAGCACGTACGATGAGTTACCAAGTGAAATGGTGAACAGTACGGTGAATTCTGAGGTGAGCATTTATTGCTGAAAAATGAAAAATAAATTGAAAGAGATTGTTTCAAAGGTCTGGAAATATGTTTTCCTTAATTTATCTAGTTTTTACTCCCTTCATTATTTTTTCAGTTATTTTTTGCAGTCACAAACATTCTGATAAGCAAGTGATCATGATGCTTCATTAATCGCATGAGCATCTTGTTAGCTTCTAGAAAACTTACTTATTTTGTTTACTTATACTCTTTCTCTATATGCACTTTTTTAACGCTCATTGCTTTTCTAGTGTTTTCATTAGCAAAGGATTCTCATCCTCTCTACTTACATTTGTTGCTACTGGAACGTCAGGTGGAACTCTTGCCATTTTTTGGGAACGCATTTGGGATAGAGATCTTATAGAAGTGTGGATTTTCCTTTAAATATGGTCTTGTTGGAAATTTTCATAATAAAGATTTTCTTATTTCTTTGCTTGGATACAAAATGTGAGGAAATGAAGTTTTTTGTTGAATTCTTGAGTTCCAAGGAATTTATCTGTTGCTGATAGAAGACATCTCTTTGGACTAGATTAGTCAAATAATGGACTGACTGTTAACAATATTTTTTCTCAGAGAATAAGAGAATATGGCTCCTTAATCCATCAGCTTTTGCTAGATTTTTCACTTTTTCCACTTTTTTCAACATTTCCTTTCTACGCTTGCAATAACGAGTCAAGTGGATGCTGAATATTTCCAGAATATTCTGCACGAATAATTGCTAATTTTCGTTGGTTAAGCAGCAAGCTAATAAAGTTTTTCTGCTATTTCCTGCGCTGAATACGTATCTTGTTTTTTTCAATGTGACTATTGGGTTGTGCGTTTCCGGATCTTTCCTCTTCCACACATTGATTATTTTCAACTTTTAAGTACATATTTCCCTACTAGGGAGCAATTTGAAAGGAGGAAAGGAAGGCTAAGCCTCAAAAATCATTTTATACTTATGGATAGCCTTTAATTCAACCGGTTTGGCGGTTGAAAGGCGGGGCTTTGTGACCTAATCAAGGCTGCTCGCCTCCGCGCGAGGGAGACGCTGTCTGCGTCTCCCTCGCGCGCGTGCTCTCTGGTCATTATCTAGCTTCAATTAGGTCACGAAGCCCCGCCTTCCAGCCGCAAAGCCAGTTGAATCAAAGGGAGAGTGTGGCATAAAAGGAATCTTACTAATCGCTGATCATTCAATACAGAGAGAAGGTGAAAGAATTCTAATAAGCAGAAGTAAGCTGTAGCTGAGAATAAAATGTAATGCTTCAGACATTTATATATGAGAGAGATGTGAGTTTAGACTATCATAGAAAAATCTTAGTCTAGAAAAATCTACCACTTCCAAAGTAAACGTTATCTAGGACTTCGAGTTTTGTTCGAGAGCTTTGCTGAGGAGAATAACCCAAGAGTATTCTTTTTGAGATTCATGACTAACAATAAAATTAAGATCATTGATTTTCAAGATATAACATTAGTATCTTATCTCACAACTGCTTAATAGTTCTTACAAAAGCACTCGATACAAGATTCACAATCCAAGACAACGTTTACTTTACACATGATAGATTCCTCCTCGATTTTTCCTAGATATCTAGGAATATAAATCAGATATCAAGCGCTACATTTTGTTCCCGGTTACTTGAAAGCGCTTTACGTCTGCTAACTGGAATTCTTCAAGTTCTCTCTATAGTGATTGATGGTTGGAATAATTAGCTAGGCGCTTTTATAAAAAGCTGTTTTACTGCTACAGCTCGATGCTATGCTTCACCACCAAATTTTTGGCAGAACTCGTCCTGCTTAGATTCTCAGTTTGGAGAATTTTTCTTGTGGAGGTGCTGAAGAGTGAGCAAAAATCAATTTTTTGAATCAGAGTCGTTGGCAGTCTACTATCAAATCCGTGATAAATATTTATTAGGTTGATGCATAATTTTTGCACCAAAATTATTGAAATGTGCCTCTGCGAATACTCACAAAATTCGATTTTTTCAAATTGAATTATTTTGTTTAATGTACTATCAAATACGATCCTCAATAAACATAACAATAAGCATACTCTGTAAGTTTTAATTAGTCTGTTTAAGCACCAAAAAAATTGTTTTCCATTTTTTTGTGTAGAAATTGTGCATCATCTAATAGGTGATCCTTTTTCTTAGGAAATGAAAGCGCATGAATGGATAACTTTTTCTTTCCTCTGCATTGCTCATGTCCCGTCAGATGTTAACAATTTTGCTTTTTTACGATTACGCTCGTCGATAGGTGTAATCCTCATTATCTCCATGAATGATCATCTCTAGTCAAAGCTCTTTCTAACGGTCACCTGCCTTACACTTATCATTACAAAACATGGAAGCTGCTTGTGCGAGAGTAGTTTATAGCTGCAAATGGTGAAAGTAGTAATAAATTCGCTAAAAAATAGGACTGGCTTCTCATCTGTGTGAGTTTGATGGACGGTTATTGGTGGCGACTAACCTACTGAACCGGAGAAGGTTTCAAGAGGTTCTGCGATATTGCCTTCAAAGAATATTTATGCACTGCAGTAGTTGAAAAAAACTATTAACAGCATGCTAACCTACAAATAAACAATATTATCTAGGACAAATAATCGATCAATATATAGACTGTATAAAAGCCGATCACTCCACAATGAGTTTGTGCCAAATTGGGTTTCGTTTTGAGCTACTTGTAACAGATTATAGAGAGCGGTGTATTATGGTGCAATCCTCTAAATAATTGAGTTACTATTTTTGTATGGATTTTCGATACTAATGAAAGACTCTTGGTTAAACAAAGTTTGTGTATGTTACACATGACTATCTTTCGCTTGAAAAAATTGGCGACGGTCCAAAAATTACTCCCATTTTTATTGCTAGCAGCAAAGTGAATAAGTGAATAGTGAATATTTTCCAAAGGAACCATTTCAAGCATCTATAAAGGAAGAGTGGACGTGTCAAGATAGTAGTCAAAAAAATAGAGCCTATAACGTAACGACAATTTGCGAGAGTTGGAAACTATCACTTTTTGAGCTTTTTCTAGCTTCACCTTATCGGAGAATCTGTTCCAGTGTGCAGAAAAAATATTAGTTTTATCATGCTTCCAAAGAAAAACAGTGTGCTTCCAGTGAGTATAATTTTCAATGTTTTTACATGACCTAAAAACTAACAGTGTCCTTATTTACGCAGGTGGACCTTACAAGACCTTGAGTGAAGAAACAAAAGAGACCTTTGAACGAAAAGACGACTTGTACTCATAGAAAGACTTGCTTTATAACGCATGTTGAATTTGCTTACTTTTTTTCGATGTTGATTTTCTTTGGCACTACTCGGCTGATTTTGCAAAAGTTTATTATTGCATGTTATCATTGCAATCACAATAATTCTTGTTCGAAAATACTTGAAATTGATATTGAAAATCATTCCAGATTAGTGATTTGCGTCCGACTTCTGTAGCAAAGCGCTGTCTACTCATTGTTTACTAATCCTTCATAAAAATGTTTCACAAAATGTATTTGTAAAAAGAAAGTCAGACTAACTTTTGCTAATTTTGAAATTCCCATGGGAACTAGATGAAGGGCACCAAGGAAGCTGCATACCGGTATAGTACCAAGCCCCGAAACCGGATATTGTAAAAAAAATAACGTACAAAAAAGGATTAAATTTCTGATATTGTTAGCTAGATTTCATCAGATATCTTTTACTAGCCAAAAAACGCAAAATTTGTTGTTATAATACCTTCCATAGAAACTGCCTCCGTAGATTTTTTCCACACACTTCCCTGGAACAATATCTCGACTAATTGGCATCTTCACCACCAACTATACTAAATCAGCGTAAATTCGGTGTTAATCCACTTGTAATCGCTGAGTAAAACGGCTTGTTAGTCAAGCGAAACTTGCACTTTTTGCCTGCAGAGAGCCGCAGAGTTTACATTCTCTCGATGCGAGCGCGCACCCGCATCTCAAATCGAGCTACTGTTTTGTTTTTCTATGGAATGAATCAATAGTAGTCGAAAAGCTAGAGTAAACAAAAGTGAGATTCCACGATAAACTTTTCGTTTACAACCACTCTCTTCGATGATGGCTTTTATCGCAAGCGTACGTTAGATAACGGTAGCCGTACGCTCTCTGTAGCTCAAACATTGGACGAGAAGCCGGAGCCGGTGGCTTTCTCTGATCCTGAGCTTCAAAAAATTCTTGTGGACAATCTCTCCCTTCTCATTCGCCTAACCCTCGACTAACTTTCTGTATCTTTAGGTTGATAATCGTTCCCTTTCATCAATGGAGAACGACTCTGGTAGAGCTGATGAGGAACTTCTTGAGATCGAAGTCTTTCCTGGATATTTTCACATCAAAGGAAGCTACTCTTTGGTCATCCATAAGGTTACTTGCCATCCCATGAAAATTTTAAATAACTTTAACTGGTTTTTCTAGGGTGATCCTTTGGGAGAACTACTTTCTGAAGTGCATGCCAAGGGATCCGCATCTTCGATGGATTTCTCCATAGCTCCAAAGTTGCGAAGGATGCTAATTCAATGCTTCAAGGAGAAGAATCGACCACCTTTGAATGGAGGTGATTTTTTTCTAAACACAAGACATCCATTTTGACCACTTTGAATTGTCAATAGCTACAAAAATACTCCCCCCCTCCCTTCCCCACTCTTCCTTTCAAGGTTACACAAAAGAGGTTTTGTGCCGAAATTTTCTTCGTCTTTTTACTTTGTTTCTTTTCATGTTCCAAAAATTTTGCTGTAATCATATATATCGCATACTTGTTCATAAACAAAAAGCATCATTCTCTTGATTTCTTCAAATATTCTTTTCTCGATTTCCAAAATTTTGGAAAAGTGTACTAATTTGAAAAATTACAGAGATTGTCATTAATTCAGACTTGCACTAACGGAGATTCGGCATAAATCCGAGAACTGCGTATAAAAAGACTTCTATGAAAAATTCTTCTAGACGCTGCTTAGAAATTCTTGAGTTCCCCTTGCATAAGAGCTTTTGAATCCTCGAGTCCCTTTTTTCGTGACCCATTCCTGCTTTCGAAGTCACTTTGCTGTGTCTACATAATAATAACTGAAAGTTTGGCTTGAATTTTGCAATTGCACTTTGCTTTTTTCAGCAAATAGTTTGAATAAAAATTAAAGGCAAATTATCAAAAAAATGAATTATAATAAATTCAGTTTGTTGACTCTGAAACTCTGTTGACATGGTTCGTAAACATTTTCTACAGAATTTATTTTTCTTCTTTTTTGTCTACACTTTTTAGGATTCAAATCCAAGTATAACAGATCACATCAACTACTACTAGAATAAGTTACGAAGGTCTAAGAGTCAGCAACTTTTTGTCTGGTATCTCCTCCTATAACTGCCATTCAAATAGTCCAACTATTTTTGCACCATCTACTGCCCCTTGTAATCGCTAGGTGTAAATTCATAGAATATTGCTTGGATTATGAAGATCTAGTAAAAGTCGGAGAGGAAGGCCATTGAAAACAAGCCTTGTACAATTCACTTTTACGTTTTGTGTACAGTAAATAGAGACTTAAAGGCTTTAAAACGTGAAATCGAATCTGTCAGTTTTTTAGCTGACATGATATCGTCTCGAGCTCGAAACCTTCTCACTGACGAAGATGTTTCGGATATCGTTTACACAATGATGAAAAAGAACCGCTACAACGCTGAAACTAATCCGGAGGTGAGAGCCGAGCTTCTTCTATAAAATCCAGTATTTTAGATGTTAAGCTAGACAAGTGTTGACACAGAAAGTATTATATTCAGGGTAACGTCAATTTTTGCACAGCGGAGAACAACGTGTGCGCGGAAGAAATGATGACGCTGTTGAAAAGCAAGGGGTATTCTCCGGTAGAGTCACATCTTGTGAATTATCCACCAGCTGGAGGGCATCCAAGGTACAGATTACAGGAGTAAAATTGTACTCATCTTTGAAAAAAATTCGATTAAGTTATGCACAAAAATTAGCAATAAGGGATCTGTTACTGTCCTTTTTCTCGAGCATTTTACTTTACTATTTACAAAATGAATAAAAGAGCTTACTGATGCTGCAATTCTGTGTCAGCAGGGGACCGGGCAAGAACGGGGTAGAGGGTTGAACGCAGAGGGGGGGGGGCAAAATGGGACAGGAACGTAGAAGGCTCACTTGGATCAAAAAGTATGCAAGTGCTTTCCTTTTATTGGTGAACATAATTTCAGAACTCTGCAAAAACGGACTTGCACTTAAGAAATTTTTCAACGCACTTTTTTCAAACCACAGTCACAAGGCAAAATAAGATTTTTGAAAAAATTTGTGGAATTTTCCATGAAATTTAGAGTTACTCCATAGCCCTTTGAAAGATTGTGTTGTTTTCTCACCAGATAAAAGAGTTTGGATATCATGATTCAATTCCCTTTTTTTCAAATGTTTAGCTTATTTTCACTTCAGTTTTACTTTTTACTTGTCCAGAAGGCCCACATTTTCCACATCAAATTTTCCACATTTTCCACATCGTGAATGTCAAGCCTTCCCCGTTACTCTAGACTGAGCAAATTTTGACTTTTTGCAAAATTTTCAAGAAGTCATGCAGGATCTCGATTTGTTTACACGTAGCTGTCCGATCGCTTCGTGCATAATAAAAAATCTCCTCTTGAGTGAGCAGTCACTCGAAGTGCTGAAAAAATATACTTGGGATCCTGCTGATTCTTGACTGTCGTGCGGCATTGATCTTTGTAGGATGCGAAATTTTTGGTAGAAAATTGATTAGAAATCAAAAAGAGCAAATTTTGTTGGTTTTTCTTATTTAACTCGTTGAGCAAAATGTTTACTGATTTGGGCGCTGTGAATCGGAGAAAGTGAGGGAAGAGGAGGAAGGGGTCAAAGGTAAAGATTCCAAGTGAAATTACAGAGTGAATTTTTTTAGACGTACAATTCGGAAAAATGGCAGTAGATGAGCGCAGGTAAGGAGGGGGAAAGTGGGTAAAACTGCGCTATTTTTAAGATCTCGATAAAAAATATTCTTCTTTCATGGCAACTTATAATAGATATAAATGCAAAGACTACAAATTATAAATGAGATATAAACCTTTTTGCTTTCATCTAGTTTTCTCATTCCAGCACCAAACAAGCTATTGCTCGATACATGGCTGAATTTATGTCAGCCAATGTTCGTGAAGACGACCTGATAATTTTACCGTCCTCAACTTCTGCTTATGATATGCTGTGTCATTGCACGTGTGAAGCCGAAGGTATTTTCTTCTTTCAAAAATTTGCAATTTCTTAGAAAATGTAATTTGGTTGTAGATCTTGTGCTAACAAGTGCTCCAACTTATGCGGCATCTGTGAGGAATTGTGGTTCTAGAGCTGAATGTCGGATAAGACCTATTGAGGTGAGTAAGATTACTCAGAGCTTGAGGCAAACGTTGTAGGGAGAGGAGAAGATGAATTTAGAAGTGATTTCAAAACATTTGAAAAATGCTTGCTGCCGTTGGATGTTTTTCAAAGTGACTTTATAATTTTTCGCAATTATATTGATCAAAGTTGCCAATAAAAAAAACTGTTATCAATCAATTTGAACAACAATCAGATCAGCTTTGTGAAAAGGCTTCAAAACGAGCAGTCTTACTTGCAAAAAATCTGAGAAGCTTACAAAAGTAGTTCGGGAGACGCCTGGAACAGGGTCCGGCACAGATCGTATGGAAACATGCTGGACTTCTTGGGGCGAAAAAGCGAAGGGGATAGGGGATATCGTTTTTGTGGCCGAAAAGACGCAAAAAAATTGGAACGTTTTTGGTCTTTTTTAAGGTTTTTTTACAGAGGTTTGGGGTCAAAGGGGGCTTTGTGAATTTTGGCGAACGTCAAGAGGGCTTCGTTTTCAAAAGGACTAGAAACGGATTCATGCCGGGCCCTGTCCTGGAATGATAATTTATGGGAAAGAAGGAAAGAGTAATAAAGCATTTCTTTTTAGCAAAAAAACTTATCTAGATAAATCCATGTGCATTTCCATGCATAATATGTACGGCCGGCACTGGGGAGGATAACTGGGGAGGGAGGGAGAGGGAAGTGAGGAAAGGAGGAAAGATGCAAAAGAGGAAAAGAAGTATATTCGTGTAAAGTGCCGGGCATTTCACGCGATTTCAGTCGCCACGCGATTTGGCAATATTCCAACCGTCCATAACTCACTGTAAGCATAATTTTGATGTACACAAGATAGATCATTTTATCAATCCTTGTAAGTTATGCACACTATGCATGTGAAATTTACCAGTGTTGGATCTGAAGACTTCTGGCGGACTGCCAAATCGCGTTGCGACTGAAATCGCGGCCGTTGAAGTATGCCCGGCCCTTAACTCAACCTTGATGGTCAACATTTGATCCCCTTTTTCATGGCGAGCCTCCCGAGCTGCTTTACTGCTCTTTGTTTTATACTTCCTAACACTACATCTTATTTTTTTCTATCTCATCTTCTTGAAGAAAATAAAATGGAAAAATGCTAGCCATAGAACTTTTTCTTCAGATAAACATGGAATCACCTCGGCTAGATGTTGATGTATATCAGAGAGCACTGGACGATTACAGCGCTAGGGTAAGAATTAATTTTTCAGAGAAAATTTATCCTTTACTGTATTGCTTCTCAAGAATTGTTTGCTTTGAACAAGAAAAATTATTTAGGGTGCTGCCGTCAGAGCGATTCTGATCATTAACCCTCACAATCCGCTAGGAGCTGTATTTCCGCCTGAAGATGTAATAAAACTATGTAATTGGGCTACTAGGTTGGTTAGACCTCTTTTGAGTTCCAGCACAATCATTAGTCTACAAATCTCTGTTTCAGTAACAATCTAATTGTTCTTATCGACGAATCTTTCACTTCATGTGTATTCGCGCCGAATTCACCCTTTAAGAGTTTTCTCAGCTATAGAAGTCGAATAGAGAGGCTAGAGAGTGTCATGTATTTCTGGAGTCTAAGCAAAGTAAGCAGATTTTGCAATTTACGTAGAATTGCCAAAAATGATATTTTTCAAGGATTTTGGAGTACCGGGCCTGAAAATATCCGTGGTTCACACTCCGTACAAAAAGTTGGCCCAATCTCTTTCAACGCTTGAGCTCATCCATCCCGTGTCCGGCTTGGCACATGATGTTGCTACAGCGATTCTTTCCGATTTCGGTATGTCAGCTTTACGTTCTGGAATAAAAACAAAGAAAAATTGTCCGGAGTCAGGGCCTGGTACCAGCTAGCACGGGGCAAGCTGGATATCGTTTTTGGGACAAAAAGCAAAGGGGATACCGTTTTTGTAAACAAATTGCGACTTTTATAGTCGACGTTTTGTTTTGGGGGTTTTTTTACGATTAGGGTTTAGGGTCAAAGGGGACTTCGTAGAACTTAGCGAAAATCAAGCAGATTTCGTTTTGAAAGTTCCCTGGTGTCAGCTCGTACCGAGCCCAGCCCAGAGCTTTTCCTCCAGGAATCAATCCTTTCACCCTCCTTGTTTCTTCGGTCTACAAAACATACGATATATAATTTTAGACTGGCTGCGGAAATTTAATGAAACCAAGCTAGCAAGGTTGTCAGCCCATTATAAATTTGTGGAAAATCAACTTCGCGAAATGGGCTTGCCCTTTACTCCAGCTGTAGCCGGCTGCTTCGTCATGATCGATTTCAGAAAGGTATGCCCTCCAGCCTCAAAATACCAGTAACCTTCCGGCAAATCTTGCTGGACCCTTACAACCTTGTTTAAGTAGACTTGTAGTAGTTTAGTTGTAGTTTTCTTGTGTCGCAGTTTTCGGTGCACAATTCCTTAGCATTACCTCAACTATGCAAGCCAATTCGTATCGGAGTGTAACACTAGATTCCATTATTATCAGCTAATCTGTGCAGGAACGCTTCTTTCTGTAAGTGGGTGCTTCCTTTTGCCTTTTATAGTTTCCGTTTTTGAAAGCTGAAAACGAAGTAGACCAGCTTCACACCGATATCATAATATATATCAAAGAACATGATCAGCTTTTTTCAAGGATTTGCAAATTTTGCCGCGATGCAACTACTACTTGAAGAAATGAGGAAGAAATTGAGTTTGTCATGAACGAGGGCTCGGCACAGATGGCTTATAAGCAAGCTGAGTATTGTTTTTTGTGACAAAAAGCAGAGGATGTCGTTTTTGTGGCTGAAAAACACAGCTTAGGTTACAATTTTTAGTCGACGTTTCGTTTTTGAGGGTGTGTTACGTTTAGAGGTTAGAGAAGACTTCGTTTTTTTGTGAAAGTCAAAAGGGACTTCGTTTTTTGTATTTTCGAAAGGTCACCTCTTGCCGAGCCCTGCTATGAACTTACGCAACAACTATCAAAACGACTCGCAACATCTATCACTGATTGAATATGATTAATGTGCTCTGAGCGATGTTAGAACTTTATCTGTATACAACCTCCGTAAGTGACTTGAATAAGAAAGAAAAAAAAAACAAAAAAAACGCAGCTCAAATTTATAATGTCAGTACCATCTTGACATTTCGTTCCGCGGCTATCTTGGCTCAAAGGTCACAACACATTTTACAGTGATTGTAGTAGCGTTTTCTTATAATATCACAGATCTAACCTTTATAGCATCTGCGATCACAAACATTTGCGGATGAATTGTCACTGTTCCAATCCCTATGTGACAAAGGAGTGATGTTGACTCCTGGACAACATATGCTATGCCAGCAACCAGGATGGATGCGACTTGTATTTAGCTGTGACAAAAAAGAACTCATTGAGGGTAAGAACGTGATTCCCAATTATCATTCCTTAAAAATTCACACATTTTGAGGTATTTATCGAATGCGGATGTTCTTCAACATGCCAATAGAACGGGAGACTATGCATATTGACTACTAAGGTTGAGTAACACTCCCTTTTCTTTTAATAATTGCACATACGCTGTCTTCAGGGCCTTCCGCTTGTATCTAGACTTACTGCAACGGTGCATATCTACATGACTGTCGATTTGTTCTGATTTCTCTTGACAAAATCAAGAGTGTGCATAAAGATTTATATGTATGATGTCTTCCATCAGTATACATTCGTAAACAGTGCAGACGTAGGAGCTCTTGACCAGATCCGGTCCAGAATTTTGAAAGAAGAGTTTTGACAGGAGTGGAACAGTTTGAGCCACCATTTGTTGCATGGGTTGTTGCTCAAAGTGATATTATCAAATTATTTGGGTGAAATGGGACAGCTTCATCTCAATTACATCTTGAAATCTTTTTATTTTGGTAAACAGCAACCAGGCTGCGACTCAAACATCGCTCAGATATGAAAAACTCGGGCAGGTTTTTGAACATCTCTCATTCTTTCCCTGCTGTACCGTAAAGTCATAAAGCAAGGGACATACCATTCGAAAGCTCTTCATGCTCTTTCGAACGGCGTGATGAACATGTAGGATTTCTTTTTATTTGAGGTAAAAATGCAAAAAACTTGAATGATTGCAGTTTTCTGGCGCAACAAAAACCAAAAAACCATGTTAAAACTTATATTTTTTAAAAATAGATAAAAATAAGGGTAAACTGCTTATGAGGACACACCGTAAAGAGCTTTATCATTTGCTAGTCGAAGAACATGCATTTACTGAGATAAGCAACACGCATCTTCGTCCTTGAAACTTGTAATGACCATGCCTCCCTTTGGGCGTTCAGCAACCGTACCGTACCAAGACGTCGTAAGTTTAATGACTGTACCTTCACATATTGCAGCAGTGGTACTCGAATGTTCTCAAAAGTTCCACTGCGCAGAACTGCTCGAAGATCACAGTTTGTCAAAATGATTAACTTTGCATTTCAGCAAGTATTAAAAATTATTAGGTTTGCGAATGACCTTATATAGATATTGCCTGAAAGAAATTAATATGTTCTAATACTCATCAAAATTGGAAAGTCCAGTTAGTTCTCTTTCTTGAGAAGTCTACATACAGTTATTTCCTAAGGGTCCCATTTTTACCGTTCACCTTATTACTAACATTATTATCAATGCAAATAATATTCATGTATAGGCTGCCATGACGAAGGCGCAAAATCTTTGGGCGCGAACGCTGCTTTATTAGCCGCAGAGCTCATGAGGCTCAGGATTTACAACAGTGAGGATACGCGCGCTACTTCGCGCCCACTCAGCTAATACTCCTCCTGCGCCTTCGTCATGCAGTAGCCTTGTAGTAGTAGTTGTAGCTTATATGATTGTTCATTATATTTTGGGAAAGTAGATTTACGATAAACTTCTCAAAGTCTTTAAATCTACCTTTTGGCATTGGGCTTTGCCCTCAATTAGGTTTATTTGTTATGTTTTTGTTAAGCAATAGTTCCCTGGTTTTCGAATCCAAAGGAAACACTGTACAATCCTTGTACAGCCCAACATCCATTTTAGGCACTGTCAAAAACCAAAATGAAAGAGGAGGGATTGCGCCACAGTCCTCCTTTATTTCTGGCTTTGTCAGCTTTAGGCTTTATCGAGTGATAGAAGTAGAGCATGGTGAGGATAAGTTACAAACACCAAGGACGTTACAAGGTTCAAAGAAGGCAGTGACGCCGAAACATAAAAAACGCCGAAGAATATATCCTCAACAGTTTTAGCGACAGCTCACTTATGTTCGTGTCATCTATCAACGAAATGTGCATAATCAGAGATTTCGATACTGAGATGACCTCTCTTCTTATTTTTAGATTATCTACATTGTAGAGAAGCTTCCATCCCTCTGCTTATCACATTTATTGGCCGCCACTTATTTTATGCACATTACCTGGTGTTACCTGGTTACTTATAAGTCCTACGATCAAACCCGAGACAGTAGTGGATCTTTGATAAAGAGATCATAAGAAAGAGAGAGAGAATCGGCGAATGCAAAGACCGTTCATTAAGCTTGTAAGTTGATGAGTCTCAGCTGAACTTGCGACTTCTCTCGCATGCTTTGAAGGTCGTCGAAATTTTCTGAGTCACCCCAAAAATGAAAAATATAAGCCTTTCCGTAGATAAACCGCCTCCTTGATGATAAGTCTAATCTACAGAGTCCGCTAAATAAAACCCTCGACAACGCGCATTTTGCTTTTATCTTGAAATAAAACGGACTTGTGTGTGAACGGACTTTCCAGTTAGTAAGATTTTTCGAAATGACTAAAATGCTGAATTTTAATCTAGTATAATGGAATAACAGGCATAGATAACTCTTCTACCAGATAGAACCGAATTTTGAGATTCGAGGATTATGCAGGATGTCCCAAAGACTATACACATCGTTAAATCGGCAATAACTCGCTCTCTCTACCTATTTCGCCGATCTGTTAGCACTTGTAGAGCATGCTTCAGCTTAGATCTACAGTATGAAACAAATCTCCGATATCTCTTTGTTACTGCATGTTTACGGTGTGAAACTTCATCTTCGAAATAGGCTGCTTAACGAGAAAACTCCAAAAACATCTGATAGATTGTATAGCAGGGTCTTTAAGCATGATGACTTCATTGCACAATTTTCTACAGACTTATGACCTTTTTACTGGTGTAATCACATCTTTAAAGTACTTTGAAAGAGCAGTTGCTGCGATTTTAGTGGAATAACTTATGAAGCAAGCATACGTTATGCGTGAATATCATATCCAAAATCAGCAGCTCCGATTAGCGCAGTGTAAGAGTTTTTGGTTTGTCCGATTTCCCTTCATGGGCAAAATGCAACTCTCAACGGCTTGAAACCCTCTACAAAATTCCTCCCGTAATTTTACGTAGCGAAGAGGAAGAGCAGATTCGCTGCCTACTGTAAGTCTAGGTTGTAGCCAGCTCTACAGTATGGTACCTAAAAATCGACAAAAGACATTGAAGAAGGAGAGTTGTTAAAGGCTATTGCTCGACAATTCCTCAACTCGGGATTCTTTTGCTTACTTAGGGTAATACGCGCTGATTCCAAAAATTTCTAAGGCCCCTGATTTTGAATGCGGACGAGTGCAACAGTTCACGCCGTGCTTAGAGTCGCAGAGTAGTTGCGGAACACACATGTTTATAACATTGCTGCATGCCGACTCCACTGGGGGAGGGAAATCGCGAGCTCCTCCGAGCGCGTGTAGTAATGGCTCGCGCGCATGGGTTTGAAGGCAGTTTTCCTGGCAGGGGCTGCATGCTTGCGCTCGGACTTGCTCTGTTTTCATATCTGGGTTGTGAGAACTTACGATATCAGAATTCCGAGATGTACAATTTTGCCGAGCTACTGCCTTCAAGGCTGGGTTCATACTAATTTCCATGTTCCGGAACTGTGCTGCATGCGCTGCAACAGCACCGCACGATTTAAACGGCGGAATTTGGGGCGCTTCAGCCGTTTTCAACGTTTTTTCTTCCAGATTTCTCTCATTTTGACTCTATTTCCTCTACCCGCTTCCCATTTTGATCAGCGGAAATTCGAACTTGGAGCGGGGTTGAAGAATGAGCGCTTTTCTGTTTTGCATATGCGACAGAACTCTGTTCTGCTCGTCCATTTTTCCTCGCTTTATTTTTACTCAGACCTATTCCACTTAATCCAAGAAGTCGCTGCGTACAGGGTTGGCCATAAATATAGCGACAAGGTGTTCACCCTTTATCTCAGAAAGGAGAAGTACAAACGAGTCATGAACATAATATTTATCAAGTAACAACTGGTACATTAACAATCATAAGTTACATCTCGATTCGGGCACCTTTGGCACGGACGACAGGGCGAAGTCGCTTGGGAAAGGCGTCGATGACCGGACGCAGGAGTGCCTCGTCGATTTCGTCCCATTCTCGGATGAGCGCTGCCTTCAGAGAATCCAAATTAGGGTGGGGAGTGGCGCAGGCCTTGCTCTCAAGGTAGGACCACAAGATGTAGTCCAGTGGGTTCAAATCCGGTAACGATGCCGGCCATTCTTCTGCCGGGATGAAGTCGGAGAGTTCGCTCTTGCACCACGCTTGGACGACCTTGGCCTTGTGGGCGGGCGCCGAATTTTGCTGGAATGTCCACGGGCGGCCGTTGAAGTGGGAATTCGCCCACGGGAATAGAGCATCTTCCAAAATCGTCTTCAGGTAGTAATCTTTGTCGATTTTGACGCTGGGGTCGACGAGTGACGGCTGGGACGACCTTCGGACGGCCCCTCGACGACCTTCGGCGTGCGAGCAGTACGGGGTCTTCCACTTCTTCGGCGGTCTTGGAGTCCACCAAGGTCTCGAGAACGTTGGAGTGTGCGATACACGACGCTGCGATGGATACCAAGGTGCTTACATAGCGATCGTGGCGGGTGGGCGGCCGGCTTTGCGCAGACGAAGGATAGCAGAACGATCAGGAGAAGGCTTCACCATTTCACTATAAATGGACCAAATTTAACCAAATTTCAACAGGAGTTAGAAAAAATGGTGAGAATAAAAAATCGATAAAACTGGCGCGCTATGTGCGCGATAGAATAGTGCGCTAACTGCATTAAGTCTTCTCGCTATAATTATGGCCAACCCTGTAGTTATAGCCATCTGCTAAGAATTAAGAAGTGCCATTTCTGAAATCGCATAAAATGAGACTCTTCTCTTGCTTTCTAATGGCGAGTTTCGTTTATGGGCATTCTCGGCTCCTTTCTTTTTTCCATATCGTTCTTTTTTTCTACCCCACTTCTCCTTGTGATGAGAAAAGCTGTGAACTCAAAGCGGGGTTGAGGGCTGAACGCTGTTCTGCTCTATGCATCCGGGAAGATGGTCCTTCGTGCTCTCGTCCATTCTCTCTTCGCTACTTTGTTCAGACTTACTTCATGTGTTTTGGAAAGGCGTTGCGTAGTCTCGCATCTGTGTTGAAAGGACATAGACAGGTCTTTAGAACTAACGAAATAGGCTTGAACAAAAATGGAAGAGAAAACGGGCGAGTGCACGAAGACCAATCTGCCCGAATACATGGAAAACAGAACAAGGTTATTTCTTCAACCCCGCTTTAATTTCGCAGCTTTTCTCATCGGAAGGAGCAGCGAGGTAGAAGAAAGAACGGAGAAACAACGATATGGAAAAGGGAAAAGGGCTGAAATGCCCGAAAACGAAACTC